CCCCGGCCCAGCCTGGCCGCCTCGAACCTCTTCCCCATTCCCCCCTCCTCCTCCATCACCTCGAGCTGAACGCCAACAAACCTCTTCCCCCACCGCCGACCCCTCCCACAGAACCCAAGAAGTTCACGAGGTGAGAAAGAGAGAGCGAGAGCGTCTCAGGTCTGGTGGGCGGCGGCCAGTCATCAATCATCCAATCACAGAGCTCGATTAGCCCGAAGAACATAACCTCCATATCTGATTGGCCTTCACTCTCTCTAGCGGCCTTGAGAGGTGTGTCGCTAAAAAAATTAAATTAAATTCAAAAATATCTGTCATGCAGTTGAGTCTCCACCCCGTTCAATCATTTCAAATGCTGCATTCAGGAAAACTGGGAAACACGACAACCCCAAAGTTAAAAGTAAACAAAATAAATCGCTTTAAAAAAAGACGATAAAGTGCAGCTAATAAATCCGTGTAGTTATGTCGCATTTCCTCAAATAATGGCCTAGATCCGAGTAAATGCCATGCCTCCTCTGAAAAAGATTTTAAAAAATTTAAACAGACTGGAAAGTGCCGCCGAGGAATCCACCCATCACCGAGTGACATTTCTTCAAATTATGTTTTAAAGGACACTCTCTGCGCTTGAAAAATAAACACCTCTCGATGACGTGAAATTACCAGTGGACAAACGAAATAAATCATTTTTAAAAATCTATCCTGTTATGAAATATTTTCAATAAAATGACAGAGGTAAAAAATAAATGCCTCCTATCTCGTCAATGCCAGTACTTACGGCAGTCGGTTAAATGTCGTTTAACCACTCCTTTAAAATGACTTGCTCCGCTCTAATAGATGCCACTTCATTTGGAAAAAAATAAAAAATAAACACCTCACCTCAAATAAACATCTTTTTGTTTCACATAAACACCCAAGAGTTGAGTAAATAGAGTAAATAGTGTAGCCCAGACTAGTCGTTTTGCATTGGGGAGGTATGAAATTTCCCACTTGCCTTGAAACGCAGCAGAGTGGAAACGAAGACGGCAGCCGAGAAACTGCTCGCCGCGACGTGATTGGATGGTTGCTGTTGATGGGCAGGGTCTGCTCTTTGTTGTGACTTAAACAGGAGGCATCAAAGAATGGCTTTGGGACGCAAAAGGAGCATGTATGCGTGTATGTTTTTTTGTGGTTCTTGTTGTTCATTGCCGTTGTATGTTTTTTTGTCGTTTGCTCATCCTCATCTTCACCTCTTGAATGTTTTTTTTTTCCGCTTTCGACGATGACGTCAGTGAGTTGTGGGCGGCGCTCGTTAATGTGCCTTAAAGAGGATCGCTGATCACACAGGCGAGCGCATTTGCATGCCCACAAGCACACGCGGCGTCAACAAAAACAAGCGGGTGCATGTGCGTGGTGGTGTTTGTTCGACTGCATGGGGGAACGCTGCCGCTCTGCTGATATGTCTTATCGGGTATTTCATGATAATTTGGGATGTGTGGACAAATGGAAGGAGGGAAGGTGATGAAAAACAAGAAAAAGAGGAAGACATAAATACATTAATTCATTTTAGGGGGTGGGGCTAAATGAAGGCAACTACTCTTGATAATGTAAATGCTCGGTGTGCTGGATTATGCCCTCAGTAGTATTACGTTACCACACACACACACACACACACACACACACACACACACACACACCCGATACACACAAACTCAGCATTGACAGTATGAGGTCACATACAGTAGAACACATCCGCTCTGGGTTCAGATTTGCCCCAGCGTTGGCTCCACACGCCCCTTTTCTAAATCCGTCAGTCACCTCGTTCATTTTCATAAATCTTTCATTATCTTAAAATAGGACTCGGTGCACGCTAAGGGAATATTTTGAACCCTGAAAAGTTTCAGGAAATGCAAAAATGATGAGCGCAATCATGAGGCAAGTGTGGAGTCATCCATCGTTGATGTTAAACAGAGGCTTGTCGCCCTCTGCTGGACAGCCGCTAAACTACAATACGACACTTAGCGACGACAATGTTCAACTAATCACAGATTTGAGATTTTCAACTCGGATTTTTTTTTCTCCATGCGTTTGTTTTGATGTAGTTCGGTTGTGGAGTTCATAAATCAATCGGAAAAAATGGAAATATGGCGATAAAGATGGACCAGAGTCACGCATCTGCTGAATCATTATTATTACTATATGTATGTTTTTTTTTATTTTTATAACATGGAGCATTTTGTACAGAGTACTCACAAAGATCATTAAAATACAAGGTAAAATTCTGTCGTATTTTAACATCGATTAAAAGATTTTATTTTATTATATCATTCAAAAAAATACCAAGATATCTGGAAAAAAACATTTCAAACTATTTTCCAATCAAATCTTTTTATTTTTAATTCCATCATTTTAATGTATTACCTTTTCCAAGCCTTATACAAAAGCGAAAAACGAAATCAAGAATTACACACACACACACACACACAAAAAGACATGCAGTATTAGATCGTGGTGTCCAAACTGCGGCCCGGGGGGCATTTGCGGCCCACCTACCATTTTCCAGTGGCCCGCGATGTGACAAAAAAAAAATATAATACAGTATTAAAAATGACATTTGACATGGGCCACAAGGTTGGTTAAAAAAGGTGAAGATGGGATCGATATTGGAAGATTCAAATAAATGATTAAAAGAATAACACAGTTTATCTTAAAACACTGTCAGATTAGATATTCTTAACACATTTTTTTGGGAGGCGCGGGGGATCAACTATATATTTACATCGCTATATTAATATTTAACAATTCCCCCACAGTTCTGAAGGTAAAATGAATACATATCAGTATAATTTTTTTTTTTTTTTGGTCACTCTTCTTTTCTTCCCTGCAGCCCTCCTGAGACAAAGGACGTCGCCATCGACCTTCCGGATGCTCAGCGGCAAGAGTGGTTTGCTCAGTACTTTTCTTTTTGATTTGACAGCACACATTTACACGCACATACACACACACACACACACACACACACACACACACACAAACCTGCAGCCAGAAACACACTAGGATTCAGCAGCATGTCAGCCAAACTTTCAAAAAAAAATGTCTGGATTTAATCTACTACAAAAAAAAAGAGAGAGAAAATGTTTGTTTTCTATATTGTTTGAAAAAAAAAAACGTTCGGGCTTGCTTCAGTTTATGAAATAAATGATTGGCAGCTTGAGGAGATGATGTCATTCATCTTCAGGTCTATGTACTTGTGCGTTCTTTTTCTAGAAGGACGCCTGTGACTTACTAGTACCATTTTCCCAATACGAGTGCCACTTTTTAGCACACAATTAAACCTGACTGGTCAACTCTTTTGGTGCACTGCTACTTGGCCAAACTAGTAGGCATGCCGCACACTAATAACGTCCCGGACTTGACTATTAGGATCAAAATACCCACTAGTAACATGTGCTTGTCCATCTAGTATGCCAAAAATGTCCTATAAGTGTCCAAATGTCAAAAAGTAATGGAAAAATGTTACTAGGAAGACAGTTATGCTTAAAGTCCCTGTAAAGTGAAAATTAGTTTCTTCTAAATTGGACACAATACAGAGAAGATCATGAACAATCCTGATAAATTTGAATGATTACAAAAACATTGCTAGGCATCTAAAATGTGGATTCCACTTGTCGGCTGTCACATTGAATTTGAATTTAAATTTTTAAAAATTTGCCTCCTGCCATCTCTCCGTGACATGCATGCACTCAACGCTACGATGAGCCGCTCTAAACTGGCCATGCCAATCCAAAGTCCTGGTCCACCCACTGGCTGTTAAATTAAAAAAATATCTATAAGAAAATCCACTCTCGTTACTCTTTTGCCTTTTCCTGCAAGACGTGCGCACACTCGCGGCTGACAATGATGTACTCTAAAGTGGCCGTGCCAGCGGACTGTCTGAAAGGAGCATTTTCGGGGTGTAAGCATTGCTAGTTTGGCAACAGCGTGTCAACGAAAGCACGGGGGGACGTCATTTAGCTTTGTGTGTCACTCAACCATGCCCCCCCCCCACCCTCTCAAAAAATCTGGCACGTTGTCAGCAGTTACCTTCAACCATGCAAGATGTTTTTGAAACGAATTTCCGAATTCACTTTACAAGGTCTTTAAGATGGATTTAAGGATTTGGAGGAAATGCTCAAATGGCATTGGCATCTTGAAATCAAAGATATGAAATCAATGCTCATCATTCAGATTTTATTTTCTTTTTGGGGAGGGGGATGGGGGGTTGAGAAGTAGACGTGTGTGTGGGGTTTAGAAGTCCTTGTTGCTCTTCTCTGTGCGTTCCTAAAAAAGATCAAATAATAATAATAATAATAATAGGAGAAAAAAGAAAAGAAAAAGCTGCTTTTCTGTTAGACGCCAGATTAGTCGGTCCGTTTTAGGGGGCGCCATCCTCGTGATAGAAGAAGATGATGATGCTGCTGCTGATGATGATGATGGTGATCTTTTTGGGTAGACAACAAAACTCTTGTTTGTATGCTTGTCTGTCTCTACACAGATACAATGATGTCTCACTGATTTTAAGAGAAAAAAAAATAGCATTTTATATTTATATTATAATGTGTATGCTGAATAAATGATTATTGTGACATTCTTTTCCCGTCTCCTATTTGGCAAATCTGGTGAAAACAGTTCCATTTACAAATGTGAAAAATATTTTTGCACCTTTCACCACATTTATATTTTGCGCTTGTTTAAAATGTCATTGAACAGATGTTTATATTTAACCTTTTGCTGCAAAATAATCGGCTTCAGATTTTTAATAAAACATCTGAATCCGATTTTTTGTATTCGATATAATAGGAATTTTCCAGATGATTGTGATAAAACTAAACACTTAAAATGTTAAAAACTATGCGTTTGTGTGAGATTTTATTCATCTTTTCAGTTTTATTATACTGTACATACCAGATGAATCGACTTGCAATTCTAGATATCTGTCGCTAGGGGGAAGCAGCATCATTTGTGTTGATCCAAGCGCCCGATCTTTGACCCGGAAAATAAACACACGCTGTGGCGAAAACAAATGGCTGCCACGGGAGCCGTCGGTTCCCCGGGCCGCCTGGTCCAGTACGTCGTGGTCCGCTCGGACCTGGTTCACAAGCTGTCATGGCCGCTTGGAGCCGTCATCACGCAAGCGTGCCACGCCGCAACCGCTGCCGTCCACTTGCACTACGCCGACGGGGACACGCAAAGCTACCTGGCTGAGCTCGACTCCATGCACAAAGTAGTGCTCGGGGTGAGTCGCGACGAACTCCATTGGACGAGTAATAGATTTCAGGCTACTACGATTTAAAACGCGTTTATCATGGATTTACCCCCTTATACGTGTTCTACACATATTTGCAACGTAGTATGTATCATTCGGTGATAACTAATGCCGTTTTTGTTGCTTTGAAAAATGTTTAGGCTTTTTTTTTTAATAGGCTTGCTGTCGGAATGTTACATTGCGCGTTGTGTCCGTATAATATTTTGATGTTTTTGTTCTCCATTTTAGTAGGAACGTGTTACAAGTGGGGAGTAAACCTAGAGCCGAACCATAGTCACACCAGAAGATCGTTATAGTTGAGGTAATAATTTTTGTTTGGCCTACGTTATTCTTCTTAAAGGTAGGCAACCTTAACATGGCCTTTTTAAAACCCTGCGACTGGAACATATTAAACGAGTTAAATTCATGAACCAAGATTCCATGTACAGGATTTCGGTTGTGGCCCAAACTCATAAGATATGGCGATTGCTGATTTGGACAAGCTGAAAGTCACAAGTTGTTTCCACATCAGACTATGAACCAAATTCACACTTCCTCTTGTGTCCTTCAGGCTCCCGACGAAGCCGCCCTTTCAGGCTTATCTGAGAGCCTGACCCAGGCTGGTGTGGCCCACAAGCTTTGGATTGAGCAGCCTGAGAATATACCCACCTGTCTGGCCCTGAAGCCATACCCCAAAGAAACAGTGCAGCCCCTGCTCCGCAAGTTCAAACTCTTTAAGTGATCTTGCCTGCCCATCAACGTCAACGTGGCCCAACAGCCATTGTTACCACATCCCTATGACTGGAATATTCACGTTTTCTCGGATAAACTGAACTGTATTCATGAACATTGAAAAAGCTGCTTCTGTGTGGCAGTAAAACAGGCCAAAGTCCAGATGTCAAGGTGTAAGAGGCAGTTTGCCTGGCAAGTGTGGTCAAGCAATAAATCAATTATTTCATGAATGAATACATCTTAATTATTTATAATACATGAAGTATTCTTCTTTTAATTAACTCTTCATTTTATTGAAGAAAAGGTCAATTCAAAAGCATCTCAATCCTGGCCTGACGGGTATGGTAGCGAAACATCAAGAGGGCCGGAAACCAAGTGGGAGCCAATCAGAGGAGTCGTTTGCACACTTGAAAAGAAGCGCAGCAGTGACTTTCTCACCGTCGATCCCGAGCGCTTGTCTGGGTGCACTCACATGAATGTCTGCCGTCCTGTTGATGATAACTTATTTGAACCTGGGAAACTACAATAACACACACGGTCTGCACAGCACACGTGGCATCTGTAAATGTGGTGTTTACAGTGGAGTGCCTCATCTCAAATCGACGCCCTGTTCTGATGTGGCATCAGAAAGGCTGATACTAATACTGACTTTTTTTTTCTGCAAAAATGCTGCTGAGATCCACCGACCATAATACCTAATTAAGATTTCAGGTTCCTTGTCTTTGAGCGTACTTCATATTCGAAGGTGCTTGTCTTCAAGTGTACCTTTGGATTATAAGGAACGAGTCTGTTAAACATATTTAAGGTCCTACCGTACATGTAAGTGTACTTCAGGTTTATATGATGTTTAAATGTACTTCAGGTTCTAAGGTAGTTGTCTTTCAGTGTACTTAAGGTTGGAAGGTGCTCATCTTTAAGTGGACCTTGAGGTTCTAAGCCAGGGGTGTCAAACTCCGGTCCTGGAGGGCCGCTGTCCTGCATGTTTTCCAAGTCTCCCTGTTGCAACACACCTGATTCAAATGAACAGGTTCAATGTCAGGTTTCCGCAGAGCTTGCTGGTGATCTGATCATTTCAATCAGGTGTGTTGCAACAGGGAGACTTGGAAAACATGCAGGACAGCGGCCCTCCAGGACCTGAGTTTGACACCCCTGTTCTAAGCCAAGGTAACCGTGTTTAAATGTGCTTCAGGTTCAGGTTGTTTTTGTAAGGTACTTGTAAGTATACTTCAGATTCTCAGGCACTCTTGAAAGTGTTTTCTGGTTTCCAAGGCACTCGGGTACTTTCCATTTAATCAAACAATCCTTTACATGTAACATTTGATTCCTGCGGTAGAATTTTACCACTCAATAGTGTCGGGACAATAAAAAATAATCTTGTTAAAAGACGGCCAATCACGGTCTCGAATTCAACATTCTTGCGTGATATTTCGACGCATTACATGAGTCAGGTAACGTTTTCTCATGCTTCTGCTCATGAGCGCGCACGCAGGCTCGGCGCGCGCGCTCCCGCAGCCCTGTTTGTTTGTGTTGGAGCGAGAGAGCGAGAGAGCTTGGAAATGGCGGAGAGCGCCGAGCAAAGTGACAACTTGGCTTCGCGACCTGGGCCACCACGACGCCCGCGCAGTCTTGGACATACACGGGAGTGACACGCCGAGTCGCCCCACCACCACCACCAGCAGCGCGGACTGGAAGACTCCAGGCGGGCCTACGGGGAATTTTTTAGCGGGGTCCAGCGCGGTCTGATTGCTTAGCCAAGCTGGCTAGCTGCGGCTAAGCTAACTGACGTTGAGGCTCGCTGGCTTCGAGTCGTGTGTGATTTCCCCCCCCCTCCCCTTTTCTCCTCCACGCAAGCTTGTTTGTCAACAGACGCCGATGGCAACTTGCTAGCCAGCTTGCTAATCACAACAAAAAGCCCAATTTAGGCGAATCCTTTTTATCGGATGTTACGTGTCAGCCACTGCTGAGCGAGTGTAAAGTTACCCACCTAAAGTTAGCAACAGACAAACACCCCAAAAACAGGCCAACGTTATCCGTCACGCAAGTTAAGTTAGCTGCATCTCGGCTAACTGGCTGTTGTTGGACGCCCCGCAATAGCGGGGAGGCGCGGCGGACTGGGTGGGGGAAGAAAACAACAACCGTGGAGCGGCTGCGAGAGCGCGCCGGGAGGACGACGCCTGCTTGTGCCACAACAAGGTAAGCCAATTGAGCAAAGGGTGCTGTGTGCTGTTGACATCCACGATGGGACCCGGCCGCTGCAGCGCGGCCTCCCACGGATGATTCCTTGCCTAGCTTGGACGCCGTGCGCGTGTACGTGCGCGCTAACGTCCCCCCCCCCTTTCCTCTTGGCCCACCTGTAAATTAATCAGATTCTTACGTAAGCGCACCAGAGCAGCCTCACGCTGTCCTTGCCACCAGAATTTAAGCTGCTGTTGTTTTTTTTTTCTCGTCTTCATGACCTTCTTTTTGGCTTGTTGTGGTTCGAGGCTAATCTGTGCTGTGGAAGAAAGAGGCGCTGCAACATTTGCATGTGTGCAGGCATGGTGTTAGCATCAGCTAATTGAGCCAGTGGATACCTTAATTGGCTTCAAAAGCCTCCCAAAGAGGCACTGATGGATTGTTGTGGACGTTTGTTTGATAAAGAACGCTTCAAGACTAGTAGCTCAGTACCCGAGGTGCCCACAAAAAAAAAAAAATACTCGACCCGAAGTCTACTTAGTTGATATATTCTAAAATATGAGTATTGCACAATAACCACCCTGCAATTTTGCAGCTTGGCATGCTTCAATCAAAACTTACTTACTCTTTGTGTCCTCAAGCCGAAGCCACAAAGGTATTGTTTGTGGCGTCTTGGTGCCAGAGAACTTTGCTGCAGTGAGTTCAGGAGCTTTCATGAGACAACAGTGGTGCAGTAAAAGGCTAATACTGGAAAACCTCAAGCAATCATTTTCCTCAGGACCACGAGTCCACGTGAACCGGGTTGAGCGAGGCCTGTGCGGTGTGTCGTCAGGGCGTTCTAGAACCTGTAAAATGGTCAAGAATGAGATATCAAGGAATTTGTATCAAACACAGAGACATGTACCTAGCACCTCCTGCACTTAGGGGACTGGTACCTTAGAACGTTAACATGGGTGCTCCAAAGTGAGTATTATCAAAGACGCCCAAGACAAAGGTTGTGTTTACGCGATACGCCGACTTGTTTTTGTCAAGCGCACGTTTGATTGTGTGTGTGTGTGTGTGTGTGTGTGTGTGTGTGTGTGTCTCGCTGGGCCTCTGGAGGTTAAGATGTCGTCAGATAAATGTGTTCAGCTATCTGCAGCACAAAAAGGTGCGCGGGAGCTTGAGACGGCGACTTCATCCGACACCCGTTTTTTTTTTTTTGTTTTTTTTTTAAAGTGCGCGGGCGGCTCAAAGCAAAAATGTCATTGGTGAGCAAAGTTGAGTGGGTAAGCGATATCTGCTGTGGAATTCCTCCACACTAATCTCTCCAAACAGAAAGCTGGGGGTGGGGGGGCCAGCGTGAGGTTGTGTTAAGTGGATCCCTCCGCAGGGTCCAGTCGTTGTTTGGATCCTTGGGAGTTTTACTGTTACTCTTGGGATGGAGCTTTGGAGCAGCTGGTGATTTTTGTTGTTGTTGTTGTTGTTGTTGTTTTTGTCATCTCAATGTCACCACGGCCCGCCGAGGACGTTCATTTTCAAACAAAGCGTTCCTCCTCGCCCGGGTTCTTGTCGTGTTGTTAGGCGAGAACGCAGACTCCAGGAAGTAGACTGTGGCCGAGGGTCGCCAGCCAACGTTCAAGTCACAATGCTTTTTATCAACATTATCATGAAATTAGGATAACATGAAGTGTTGGCGAAGACAAGCACCTTTAGAAAGTATCCAAAAAACTTTCAAACTAGTACCTTAGAACCTGATATACTCTTGAAGACAGTTGAAGACTATTTTAGTACCTCAAGTACAATTAAACATGAGTACCATAACAACCTTAGTACTTCAATAACTTTACACCCTGAAGTAGTTCTAGACGAGTACCCAAGTCCACTTATGGCAGTGCCGAAGAGTCTAAATGAAACTAGGACCCGAAGAACCTGAAGTATGGCTTGACTGATACCGTAGCACTTCAACTACTACTTGGAAGAGTCATACACAAAGCGTAAAATGCACTCGGATACGACTACCATAGAATCTGAGGTTCTCTTCCTTTTTTTTTTTTTAAATTGGTGAAACAGCAGCCCTCGTTTCACCGAGGCCATCCATTCAAAAACGAAGCACTCTCACCGTCGGAGCCCTGCAGCTTCTCCTGTGTGTCACTTGACTCCAGGAAGTAGTCTGATTCCATCGTCTCGAGACCGTCGAGGGAGGCCAGTTGCCCTTCATGTCACTATGATTTTTATTTTTTTTAAATCAACACGCTCAATCAGCATCCGAGCCTCGCCGCCAGAACTTGGCTGCACTTGACTCAGCGGCTTTAATCGCCCGCGCGGCTTCCGGCCTGCGCGGTGCCGTGTCAAGTTAAGTCAGACTGCAGTGGCATCTGCCGGACGTGAACATGGAAAAGTTTGCGCCCGCTGTTAGTTAGTTCGTTCGCAAGCAGCCTTTGGAAGGTTGTTAATGGGACATTTCTATCGCGACGCTATTGCTGCCTGACCCCATGTCAGATGTTAGGTCGGTTCGGTAAATCCCCCGCTATTAGCAAGCAATTGATTGTCTCTACGGCTTTCACAAATACAAGGCAACAAAATGCTGACAATGCAGAAGACATCAGCGGTAATTACGTGCGATCTGTACAGTGTGTAAGAAATGATAAGTTTAATGATGTCAACATGGGTTTCCCGGCAATGTAGAAGTTGATGATGATGATTTGGAGTCATGTAGTATGATTAGGCTTTGGCTGGTTACCATTTAAAAAAAAAAAAAGTTAACTGTTTCAAACCCACCGAAACCTCACGTCAGCGGTTTGATCTTTGGTGGTGAGAGCAGTCGGTAGTCCCACGAATTTGCCCTTGTCGAAAAGTCCAGGTGCGGCTGTTGCGTAGAGGTAGATGTGTCACGTGCTTTCAGAGTGGCTGCTTCACGTGGGGGGCAATAGCTCCAATACAAAATTACATTTCGGAAAGCAGCATCCGTTACTCCTCGACAAATTCAACGTCATGAAATGAACGTTTACAAATTGCTACGAGAGTTATCGCGTCTACAACCGCTGAAATTCCAGTTTCGCCTTGCTCCTAACTAGCTAACAAGCTAACCAGCAAGGCTAAACATCAGCTTGTGTAACTTTGCAAGTGGAGAAGAGAAGAGACAGAGCGACCCGTTTTCTAAGAAACAAGCATTTTTACTGTCGTACGACATTTTATTGACGGGGGGGGGGGAAATCAACTGTTTATGTTCTTAAATTTTGCCACATTAGCTTGGCTTCCGGTTAGCATACTCAACAAATTCAAGGTCATGAAATGAACATTTGCAACTCGCTATGAGAGTTAGCGCGTCTACAACCGGTGAAATTCTAGTATGGCCTTGCTCCTAACTAGCTAACAAGCGAGCTAGCAAAGCTAAACATCAGGTTGTGTAACTTTGCAAGTGGAAAAGAGAAGAGACAGAGCTACCCGTTTTCTAAGAAAAACATATTTCTACTGTCGTACAACATTTTATTGAGGAAAAAAAAAAATCAACTGTTTATGTTCTTAAGTTTGGCCACATTAGCTTGCTCCCGGTTAGCATACCGAATGTGATAGCGGCCCATTGCGATGGGAATTTCTCAACGTGGAAATGACGCATTCTGTCCCCTTTTTTAAAATAACATCGGGGATAGAAATATGAGTTGATACGACGCCTTTCCCAAGGGGAAGTCCACAAAAACGCCGATTGCATTCTCACCAGATGTGAACGAGCGGGAACGAAATAGCATCCACAGTATGTACAGCGTCCAAGGCATGAGTTGAAGTCTAAATGCGTTATCATGAGTGTCCTATGACTCTGATTATGAGCAATATGATAACTACAGTATGCCCAGTGTCCTATGCTCTCTCTCCCCTATGGTCTTGTGCTCTCCCGACCACATGATCGCCACGCCGTCCTCGCGTGAACCTGCCATAGATGCATTATATGTTTTATTTAGACCGCCGCAGAAACATACGTACGTGCCTTTCCCCCCTACGCCTGCACCGGATTCGGCTCGGACGTGAATCCTCTTGGATTTATTTGTTTAGTAGATGAGCCAAACGCGTCATTTGGCCTTTATTTATTTTTTTTATTATTATTTTGTTTCCATCCTCGGAAAAAGGCTTGATGGCTATATTGGTGCCGCGCTTTCCAGCCGCGGGACACAATCGAGCGTTTTCATCATGTCGGAGGCCCCGGGCCCGCGCGTCGCGTCGACGCGTAACCGATCGGTCTCTCGTAGCCTGGCTTGCTGCTGTTGTGTTGTTGTCGTTATTGTTGTGGTATGCCCTCTCTCTCTCCATTTTGGATTCAGTGTGAGACAGCGAGCCGACCCCCCTCCCTCAACACCCCCCAAGACGCACAAAAGCACAAAGCCGCAAAAGACGAAGAAGAATGGCGTGCCGCAGCCCCCTTGCGACTTTATTTTCCTGCGGTTTGTAAGCGATGGCCGTCATTGTCAGCCCAAGACTGATGGCATGCGAGGCGTGGAGAAAAAGGACGGCGAAGGCAGCGAGGCGGCAGGCGGAGAAATTGATCGGGCCATTGAGACAACGGCGTGACATATTGTTGCCTCCAAAAAGCCTCCACGTATGTGCTGCTCCGGCACAGTAAACAAGATGAGGAGTCGTGAAGTGGTTGAACGGTTGGAATGCGCTGCTGGGCCAGGGGACAAAATATAGATTTGATCTTACACAATCCTCTCTCTCTCTCTCTCTCTCTCTCTCTCTCTCTCTCTCTCTCTCTCTCTCTCTCTCTCTCTCTCTGTGCCTAAGAGGCACGACAGATGACCCTCAATCCATCACGTAAACCGACGCCATGATACCGAGGCCATATAAGAAAAAAAAAATGGCCACAAACCCCATTTTCTCTTTTTCTAACACTCTTTTGAAAAAAAAAAAAAGTATTCCTCCTCTTTTTTGGCTCGCACCGTTCTCCAAAAAAGAAGCAAGCCGCGCTGTTTCTTTTTCCATGCCCGGTTGAAGTTACTGTCAAGCTGTCGCGTCGCGCAAGAGAATTGTTAACGTCGTCTGTTAGCTTAATGCTAAAAGTGTGCTGTGCATCGCCATAGACGGGCGAAGTGAAAGAAGATGGTCGCTCACAAACTCGCGATGTACTGTCGCGCGGGCGTAAACGACGAAGCGACGACGAGCCACCGCGGCGCAGGTGAACTTCATTTGACCTCTGAACCTTCAAATGTTTCAGTACTTTTGCTGTTCTCTTTTCTCAAATTAGCCGAATGGCAACATTTAGAATGATGCCCACGATGCCTTTCTGTGACTCTTGCGGTCTCCGTATTTCTGTCGCAACCTCGCCGACGATGCTTTGGGACACGCTCAGCTCAGTTGGCCTGTTGCCAAAGTCAAAGGCGTCAAAGGTGTCAAGTGGTTCGCTTCGGTTTTGCAACATTACGTCCTTATCCGAGATTATCAGCGCTCGCTTTATTAGTGGCCCCGTTGTGACCTTGCCGAAACAAAACAAACGATTGTAAAACTGTGACGGAGCGAGTAGTGCGGGTTCGGATTGAGATGACGAAACACGACACTTCGGCGTCCTCTTGTTCCCTTCACAGTCCAAAAAAAAAAAAAAAAAACCTCGACAATTGGCCACCTCATCGATCCAAATCGATGCGGCATTGGCGGGAGACCTCACGTCATGCTTGAACCCCTCAAGACAGAAAAAAAACAATTCCCCCGAGGTAGAGAAGAGCGCAGACTCACTAAATCGTACAGTCGGACCTTTTCCAGGGCTCGCCGTCATTGATGCAGTTGCGTTTGCTCGGCTAACCTCATTATCCGCAACAGAAGCGTGACTTCACACACAAGAAACCCTTTTTTTGGGTTTTTTTTTTTGTGCGCTCATGTGGTGCTCAGTTGGATGTGCAAGCAGGCAGTTAATGACTAAATAACAACGCCCAATTAAAGGTCATTTATTTTTAATTTCAGGGGCGTGTATCAAACCGGTAGCCCTTTGCACTCATCCTGAGGACAGCAGAAAGGTCGGCGACCCCTCTGAAAGACCTTCGAAAACAAAAGTACTCAGAAAGATTGAGTACCTTGGGAGTCGAGAGTACGCTTCAATGGTTGTATCTTGGTACCTTGAAGTACTCCTGAAAAGTTGCACCGTTTGATTCCGAAGTACACGTCGCCGTAGCGCTTCACCAGAAATACCAAATGTCAAGCGGTCTCAATCACGACGGCCAATCAGGTTGTTCCGGTGACGGCGAATTCATCACAAAGTTCATCTAAAACGCGGCGCGGGTTCCTATCGAGTGAAGGAAAGCACGCATTCAAAGCTCTAATTGCAATCCAGCCGGTCCGCTGTCATTAGCTCAATAAACAAGCATAAAAAGCACGTCGACGCCTTGAGGAAATGCGGCCACAATGACTGCGCTCGCCAATTATCTAACGAGATAAATGATTACGCAATCAAATGGGCGAGATGGGACAAGTCATGCGTACACGGCTTAACATTTGTAAAATACTTTTTCAATTTGACGTCACACCTCCAACCCGGATTATAATAAGCACGTCGGAAAACGGACCGATTGTCATTCATTTTTTTGGGAAATGATTTCGCCTATTCGCGTATTCCGTAAGTTGCACCGGCCATAAAATACAGAATAAAGAAGAAATAAAACATATTTAAGTCACACCGGAGTCCAAGTCGCATTTTTGCAGGAAATGTATTGGATAAAATGCAACGCAAAGAACAGACGTGTCATCTTGAAAGGCAATTAAAAAACTAAAATAAAGAGAGAACAGGCTGAATAAGTGTACGATATGCTAACGTTACATGATGCAGAAAAAAACGAACTGAGAACGTGCCTGGTATCGTCACGTAACATATGAAGAGTTATCCCGATAACTAGAGCATGAAGAACATGCTAACAAGTTCACCAAACCATCAGTGTCTCTCCAAATCACGAAATCCAATGAAATCTTCATCTTCGGTGTCACTTGTAAACAACACCGTCAAATCTAGAGGTAGTGAGAGCGGCGCTTCCGGCCTAGAGCGCCCTCTTGTGGCTCAACGTGAAAACGATATGTGAAATGACACAATAATGTGTGAATAATTTCACACGGAAATCCCTCCAGAGTATAAATCGCACCCCGGGCTAAACTACGAAAAAAAAAACTGCGATTTATAGTCCGGAAAATCCGTTATGTAAGAGTTAAAATTGACGTCGGCACGTTTGTGTGCGACTTAAACAACGATGCAGCATCTTGACGCCGTTGTCTTTCCCGCCTCTGCCTCAGGTGCAGTGTTCCCCGCAGCGCCCGCCATGTTGCCATGTGACGGAGGGACCGCGAAACGACCGTAAGCCACCTGGACTCGCATCTACTTCGAAGCCCACCTCCTGCTCCACTGACCGGTCGCCATTTTTGCGCTGGACACAAGCCGGCCGACACATGACTCAGCCCCTGGTGACCTAGACCACCGTAGGTACCTCGCGCTTCCAACGAAGCCGCCCAAAATGGCGGGGAAGTCGCGGTCGAGATTTTCGAGCCTCGCCTCCATCTTTGTTGTCTCCCTCCAAGAACTGCCGTGCGGAAAACATTGGAGTCGCTTGGCCCCGCGCGTGTTTGTCGCTCATCAATCGCGGGCTAACGGCAAGATAAGTTTCCCCTCATTGATGAAGCCATGAGCGCGCTGACCCGACCCACCGCCTTGCACGTGATACGCTCGCCAACGGGAAGTCTTCATGTCCGTTGACTGATCGCGCGAGCTGCTAGCAGGGGGGAGTCAACGGGTGCGGCGTAGCTTTGGGGCCGTGTATACATTCCATATGGCCTCCATGTTAGAGGGCGGGCCACAGCAACACTGACTGAGCAGCTTCTCACGGGCGGCGCCGCAGCTCCCGCCGTTACTCTCTGACTCGCAACGCCTATTTGGTACGCTCATCCGAACTAGGCTTGCGCGGTAAGCAAGTACTCGAAAAGTAGCGCGATACCCCACTGTGAAAAAGGAACGATACTGTGTGGTTTCAAGTGCCGGCCGGGACTCGCGCGGAATTGTCTGGTTCTCCCACAAAGACAAGAACGAAATTGATATGAATAAAAGTATTTTGGATAGTGCTTTAAAATGTATTTCTTTTTTTTTTTTTTTTCTTTTTCAGACATTGTACTTCAAGTTAATATGGCCCGGGTACATGTGGTGTGTGTTGACTGTCGGGTTCGTAAATAAGCGCGTCAGTGGGCTCTATAGAAACCAGGCAGGCATCCCGCCCTCTGCCTCGCATTCCCCCCAAGCAGGCTCCCAACGTCACGCTGGGCCCCAAAGGAGCTTAAATCATCAACTGGGAACAATTGAAAGTTTTCAGCATACAGTGAGAAGATTAATAAGGACAACGTGTGGCAGCGTGTGTGTGCAGGTTCCTTCCTCCCCTCCCTCCCGCCGATGTCGATTCCGCGCTGCAGTTACCAGGTGGTCTTTTCCCCGCTCGCCCCCCGTTGACCATACATTTCTTTGTGTTAGGGGGAGGGGGGAAGTCAGGTGGATCTGCTCCACCGCTCTCCCGTGTTTACCTGCTCGCCCGGCTGTTGTGTGTGTGTATGTGTGTGTGTGTGTGTGTGTGTGTGTGTGTGTGTGTGTGTGTGTGTGTATCGTGTTGTTTATCGTCCTGCTGGTTTCTGGTCACATGGACCTGATGGGTTAAGTGTAACCTGTCAACTCAACACGGCAACGGCGCGAACAAGCCGGTGGGCCGACTTTATGTTCTTGTTTAAAACCAGAAGACAGGTTTGAATTCACAGAGTGACTTGTGAAATTATTGTGCCTTTCCCAAGTGCTTGAACCAGACTTAAATTGATGAAAACACTTTTGGAAGGATTCTTCTGCACCTATTCCCCCTCGTTGGCAGTTTTGCAGCTTAGAGGCCAAGCGTGCTTGCTTTAAGCTGTCTATCCCTCCCAGAGGCTTTTTACTGTCCAACTGACACCCGAGGCAAATAATCATTGTATATTTCACCACAGAATATTCACCAATTCACATCATTTTGTCCAAAGGTGTGCTAGCGGAATGCTAACATATAACAAGAAACGGAAGTTAGCATCATTATTGCAATAATAAATGCACGTTGTAACAATTGCTACCTTCACATACACGGATCAGTAACGCACACAAACAAAACATAAAACAAAATTCAATTCAACATTATGTATTTTAACACCAGAAGCATCACATTTCAATTTTCAAGTCCGCGCACTTTGCGCTAACATACCACGCGAAACGCCGCGGACGGGCGAGCAGAATTTAACTGCGCCATAAACCTTCAGACAAGTGCTCCTTTTAACACTCGGCGGAGTAGCAATGCATACAAACACGCTAATAACCCGCGAGTATGTAATCTCTGCTCTGTGTGAACAACGATACCACTTCTCATACAGTCGTATGAGAAAAAAAAAAAAATCTGAGCTTTGACCCTTTTGGAAATGTCTTAAGAAAGCCAACGTTTATACACACTCGCACGACAAAGCCTTGAAATCCACCAGTGGCGAGGGCGCAGAACGAAGGCGCGGTGGGGTTTGGGGGTGGGGGGGCTAAGCAGCTATTGTCGCAGCGACGCTAATCCCTCCTGACTAGCCTTGTTTGCATCCGACCTCAGATCACCCCTCTGACACGCTACTAACACGCAGCGCCGGGGGGAAAAAAGAGAAAAAAAGAAAGGTGCCCGCTGTGCATTAACACCGTGCCCGCGTCCTGTAAAGACCCCCACGCCGACCACCCCCTTGAGCCGCAATTGAGCCCAAGCACATTTCCATGTATATGCTTCTCTTTCGTACGTTCTCTCCGAGGACTGTTTTCATTCGTCACGCTGTGGTTTTTGAAATATGCGTCGCCGAGGCTGTTTGCCCCGTTCATAAATTAAAGGAGGAATTTCCACCGCGTCGTCGGACAAATACAGCCGACCGCACTGCATGTCACGGTTCATTATTCACACGCCTTGTCATAATATGGATTATTATTATTATTATTATTATTATTATTATTATTTTATTTATTATTATTTTTTTTACAAGTCTGTCCAGGCAAGTCTGAATTTCACATTTAATCGCTTTCCATTTGTCCTTATGGAAGTTTATACTTCAGTGCCGTCAAGCTAACCTGGAGTCAACGTTGAGCCTTTCTCCAAGCTAACGTTTTAACATTTTTTAAATTAATTAATTTTTTTGATGTGCAATTGTTGTTGCTGAGCGTCGGTCTTTGTTGCCCCCCCCCCCACCTTCCGCTTTGCAGGTCAGTCAAAACTGAAAATGAGCGCCGTCGGGGAAAGTCCCCTGGACCCTGACACGGCCGAGTCACGCAAGAGGAAAGGCTCACCATGCGACACGTCAGCGCAAAGGTAATCTCGAAGAGATCATATTTCACGTCGACCCCGCCGGTGTAACATTGAGTAAAAATTTTTTAATGTTGACATTTCTTTACTCTTCTGTTTACATATTTAGTGTTTGTACACCTGTAATTTAGCATGCACTTAATATTTGTCTACACACCTCTAATTGGCCATATTTCATGTTCATAAACCTCGGCGGAGGAGTCGTCTCATTTTTTTGATCTTTACACTGTCGATCATGACTACATTTTTTTAATATACTTCTTTAACGTCAACGCATGCTTACTGTAGCGCATTTATATATTATTCCTTGCTCTGTCCGCTCTCGTGTGCTGACACCCACGGCACTCACCCGGCCTGGTCCCGCATGTTTAAGCCACGCACATTCACAGTTATAGATACGACAGTGTACGAACGTGAGGATGGCAGCCTCAAATGGACAAAAATAATACCAACACCACACATGCACATTTTTTTTTCCTTACTGAGATTGTTGATGATCCAATTACTTGCGTTGGTAACTGCTGCTCGAGTACCAAGCTTACATTCTTGAAAATAACACCTTCGGTGTACCATACATCATGTTTACTGCCTTTACAGCAGCTCCATTATTTTGTTCTTCTCCTTCTTCCTTTCATACCTTTGCTGCTGTGAATTGGGAATTTCTCCAGTGTGAGACTAATCAAGGTTTTCTTATCTTACACACCTCTAATTTTGCACATTTGACCTTGTATTAACATTTCTGACCTTGGTGTGACGTTGACCAAAATGTGCGCATTTCTCCTATCGCATGTTGACATTGCATTTCATGTCTGCGCCCAACACGTACAGTAGCATATCGTCATCATTTTGACGCATACGTGCCTCTGTAGTGCCAAGTTGACATCCAATTCGGTGGTCTCCGTTGTTCCCGCGTTTACATCTCATTGCTTCCCGAGCCTTCTGCCCGTGTTTAACAACATGAGTGGATTAGGTTGGCCCGGGGAAGGTGTGTGTGCAGACGGCTCATCAGATCACGGGTTAGCCAAAGTTTAGCCGAAGGGTCGAGGTGGAAGCGAGGACGCTCTCTCTCTCTCTCTCTCACTCACTCACTCACTCACTCACTCACTCACACATACAAACAAACGCACTCGCAGCTCCCAGAATCAGCGCACCCGCTCTTGTGAGCCTTTTAAGGCCCAATAGCTGATGTAAGCTGATGTAACATCCCGGCTCGCATTTCCAAAAGCAACCAGTGACCTGCGCGTTCAAACTGCGCCCTCCTCCTCACCCCTTCCCCCTCCCTCCCTCCCTTCCTCCCTCTCTGGGCCACCATGCTTGTATGTTTTGGCCGTCCAATGCACTGACCTACTTTTTGCTGCTGTTGTCCTCGTTCGCTTACACACAGACACACACGCGCGCGTGCGCTCACACGTTTTGTTTTTCACGTTTACCACATATTATAGTCGCTCATTGTGAGTGGAGCAGACGGAGACGAGCGTTAAAGACGTAAGTGCTTTAACCATGTGCAGTCGCATCTATGTCCAACACGCTCATTTCCACAAAATAAAGTCTTTAAAAAAAAAAAAAAAGTTTGAAAAGGAGGTCACCTTTAACTTCCGGTGGCACATGGCAGGAAGTTGACAGCGGTCAGGAGTCACTTGTAGCCAGCGATCAGAGCTGTTCATTCTCTTTGTCTCTATCTCGATCTCTCTCTTGAGCTATCTCTCAATTTCTATTTATCTCTTTCTGTCGACGGATATTTGTTTATTTATTGTCGGTCAAAGCTTGTTTGTTTGATCAGCAGTGGCTTTGGCAAAAAAAAAAAAAAAAAAAGTAAATCTGGAGGGGCATTTCAGAACTGTCCATGTGAGCTATGAAAGGGATGTCAATATGTAAGAATGTATATTCCCTGCCAAAAGTGGCTCTAAGCGCTGCAAAAAAAGTGCCCTTCTCTCACCGCGTTTGAAAGCCTCATGTTAAATACAGCCTTGCTTCTTTGTGAAGTGTGAGTCTTTTTGGTCTGGTCAGGGAGTCGGTTTGAGCGCAGGCTTTCATGCGGTCGACCGGCGCGGGCAATGTGTCCCTTTTAAGCGCAATAAAATGGTGACCGTTACATGGGTTGTTAAAGCGGCCTTTTCTCAGGGTCCATCGGGGAGTCTGAAAAAGTCAATCCGTGGTCGGCTGTTTTTTTTTTTTCGGCAGTCTGGAGAAGCGGCGGCGCGAGCTGGAGAGTCGCTACATCGGCGAGCTGGCGGAGCTGCTCTCCTCCAACATGGGCGACATCGCCAGTCTCAGCGCCAAGCCCGACAAGTGCCACATCCTCAAGAGCACCGTGGACCAAATCCAACAGATGAAGCGACGCGAGCTGGGTGAAGGACCGCGGTTCCTCTTCCTGTTTCGTTCCACGTTTTCACCACCGACTGCTGACGCTCAGTGCTCGTCCTGCCTCCACAGAGAAAGCAGCTCTTCGCTCTCCGGATGACGCGGTGCAGAAGAGCGACATCTCCTCCAGTAGCCAGGGCCTGCTGGAGAAAGAAGCCCTGGGACCCATGCTGCTCGAGGTGAAGCGTGTCCAGTAAACCGAATCCCTGTTTAGTTCAGGGGGACACTTAAGTAAAACCACATGTTGCTCGCATCCAGGCTCTGGATGGCTTCTTCTTCGTGGTGAATCGCGAAGGTCGTATCGTCTTTGTCTCCGAGAATGTGATAAGCTACCTGGGCTACCCTCAAGAGGAGCTGATGATGTCCAGCGTCTACAGCATCCTACACGTGGGAGACCACAACGAGTTTGTCCGCAATCTGCTGCCCAAAAGTCTGGGTGAGCGTTTATGAATTGACATGATTTTGAACGTTCCACCTCAAATGTGTCATGTCCTTCATATTTAATGTCTGCTATACCTGGATCGGGCGGCCCGGTGCTCGACCTCACAGTGCAGAGGTCGTGGGTATGATCCCGGCTTCCTGTGTGGAGTTTGCATGTTCTCCCCGTGCCTGCGTGGGTTTTCTCCGGGTACTCCGGTTTCCTCCCACATTCCAAAAACATGCGTGGCTGATTGAACACTCGAAATTATCCCGAGGTGTGACTGTGAGCGCGGATGGTTGTTTGTCTCTGTGTGCCCTGCGATTGGCTGGCAACCGGTTCAGGGTGTCCTCCGCCGACTGCCCGAAGACCCTTGTAAGGATAAAGTGGAGCGGAAAATGGATGGATGGGTGGATAAACCTGAAGCATATTTTGTTTAGGTACAGAGGGCGTCATCACTGTCCAGGAGTCAAATGCTCATATCTTTATTATTACTTTTTTTTTGCCCCTGCATCATGAACTTAATTGTTTGTGTGCATGTGAGTGTAGTGAACGGCTCGCCGTGGCCTCAGGAGTCCGCCCACAGGAGCAGCCATACCTTCAACTGCCGCATGCTGAAGAGGCCGCCCGACGAGATGGACTCGGAGAACCAGGAGGCCCGGCAGCAGTACGAGATCATGCAGTGCTTCACCGTGTCGCAGCCCCGCACCGCAATGCAGGAGGAGGGCGATGGTGCGGAAACGGCCCAATGTTATTTTTTGAATGGATTTCTCTGTTCTATCAATCAAATCACCCATTTTGTGATTCAGACGTGCAAAGCTGCCTGATCTGCATCGCCTGCCGGATGCCTCGTGCCCAGCCTGTCAGCACGGAGTCTTTTATCACCAAGCAGGACCCGACAGGTACCATCTTCATCTAGGCCACAGGTGTCGAACTCAAGGCCCGGGGGCCAGATCTGGCCCGCCACATCATTTTATGTGGCCCGCGAAAGCAAATCAAAGTTGTCAACTTTCATGATGCTTGCTAAAATCTCTCCCAAAATTTCAAATTCTCATTTGTAATAAATAAGACTGATACTGTAAGCATTTTCTTGTTCCCAAACCCGTCATTACAGTAACTTAAACAATTGGTGAATAAACTTATTCTTGACCTCTTTATATGGTTTCAGTCATAACGGCCCTCCAAGGGAAATTGGAACTAAAATCTGGCCTGCGACAAAAATGAGTTTGACACCCATGATCCCGGCCCTTGCATGAAAAACTGAAAATAGAGTTTTATTTATTTATTTATTTATTTTTGGAGAGGGGTGACAAAAATCAAAGATTTTATTTTAAGGCCATGCCCATCCTTAGGTGAAATTGTCGTGATTTCATGTAAATAAACCGACGTGTGTTTTGTCGTTGGTCCTCTCAGGGAAGATCATCTCCATCGAGACCGGTGCTCTGCGGGCGACTGGCCGGCCCGGCTGGGAGGACCTGGTCCGGAAGTGCATCTACGCCTTCTTCCAGTCGCAGGGCAAAGAGCCCTCCCATGCCAAAAAGCTGCTACATGAGGGTGAGAGTCCATCCGCTTGAGCCAGTCTTTCGTCTTTACGTCGTTGCAGGCTGGGGTTGCAAAGGGTCGGAAAATGACCGGTAAATCTCGGTCTTCTTTCCGTCGCAAAAATTTGAACAGGGGTGTGTCGACTTTTCAGCCATTTTTTTTGTATTTGTATGAAAGTCAGGATGCTGCAAATTGTATTTCCCTCACCTGTTTTTAAGTTCTCGAACAAGAGCCAGTTTTCAAGTTTGTGTATTCTTGTTTTAGTGCCCTTAATTTCAAAGGAACGTTTCCGGGTTCCCAGAATTCACAGAACTTTGCAATGCCAATGCTGAGTCAACTTTTTTGTTGTCTGTTGGCGCCCAGTGATGAGCCACGGCGCCGCCATCAGCCCGCTGTACCGCTTCGCCTTGAGCGACGGAACGCTGCTCAGCGCTCAGACCCGCTGCAAGTTCTGCTGCCCCCCAAACCCGGACGTTCAGCCCTTCATCATGGGCATTCACACTATTGACAGGTACCGGCACTCACGTTTGTGTTTATCTGCCGGATGAACTTTACTGACTAGTGCGCCGTCCCCAGGGAACACAACACTGGTAGCTCTCAGGAAAACTCGAACCCCAGCCTTCAGCCAACTCTGGGCAACCTCGCCCAGACGCCCTCGCCGGTCCTCGCCACCGGCAGCAACTCAAAACAAACCTCAGGCCCCGCCGCCGCCTCAGCCTCCTCCGCCCCCTCCGCCTCAACGGGGCTTCACCCGGGCAACAGCAGCGTCTCCTCGCAACGACTGAACCCGGCCGCCGGCTACTTGCCGCCCAGCCGGACGCGTCCCCAGCAGGGCAACTGCCCGTCGCCTCTCAGCAGCCCCGCCACAGCCGCCCCTACCTCGTTTATGTCGGCTGCCGTGTCGCGGGCCAGTCCCGGACTGGCCGGGAGCCCGAGGGTGCCGGGCCTCCACTCGCCAGCGGGTGCACTGAACAGACAACACTCTGGCGGCGACGCTAGCAACGCCACCCAGGTCGGGTCAAAAGTATGCTTGTCCAGACAAGCCGGGACCCCCACCGGTTTCTCCTCTTCCCGGCCTGGAGCGGAGGGAGGGGTACAGGACTCCGTCAAAGCCCCCCTGCCCTCTAGCACGCCGTTGGCTCATCTCAGACTTCATCACTCGCTGGACAGCAACGGGACAGGAAGTGACACGAGTGACGTCCACTGCACCTCGTTGCCTCATCCCAAACCCTCTCCCGGTCCTCAGTGTCCCGCCTCCCACAGCACACTGACGGAACGGCACAAGATCTTACATCGACTGCTCCAGGATAGCAACGACTCACCCACCCCTGCCGCCATCACCACCACCTCCACCGCCACCACCTCCACCTCATCCTCCTCCGCCACTGCCACCACGTGTGAGGACATCGTCAACAGAAGCGAGGTGGAGATCAAAAAAGAGCCGCCATCCAGTCCCCTGGTGAGCGCGGCGCTGCAGCGCTCGACTTCCAGAGAGCCGCAGGACCATCAGCTGCTGCGCTTTCTGCTCGACACGGACGAGAAGGTGAGAGTAACAATTCCAGCTACTCTCAAGCGTTTTTTTTTTTTTTTGTTTTTGTTTTTCTCAATTGTTAGTAGAGTGATATAGAGACCGTCTGGCAAAATATTTGAGATGCAGTTAGCTTGATGCTAACATATCACAGGAAACACCATAGACAGGCAAACACAAATTAGCATACATGTTATGCGGTAATGACACGCCTTCGAACCACTGCTTCATGAACACACAAGAGCAGCAACACATACAAAACAGAGCATACAACAAAATTCACAGCAAGGCATTTTCGCAAGCATTTCTGAATAAGGGATGTCCAATCTTTGCAAACTATTTGCTCTAATCTGACAGCGACCACTGACTATGTTGACTGCGAGCTAATTTGTCTTTGCAGGATTTGGGAGACCTCCCTCCCCCCTCGGCTCTAAGCCTGCAGACGGTACGAGTGAAGGTGGAGAAGCGAGGCGCCGGGGAGGCGTGCGCGGCCGCCGTGGGTGCGGGCCTCGCCTCCAAGACGGGCGGCCCGGGTTGCGTCAGCCCCAAATCGAGTCCCATTGGGGAGAGACGGCGAGACAGCCGGCGAGACAGCCGGCGAGATAGCCGAGACTCGACGGTAACTTTTTCTTGTCGGCTGACTATGGCTATGATGTTTGGAATTAGCAGTAGCGGTGCAGCGTTAAGAAAAAAAAAATGGTGGTTAGTTGCATTTCGATTCTATCTCCTTAAATTCATTTTCCCACAATTCCCCTGTTCACGCTCCTGCCGTTTTTCATCCGCCGCATCGTTGCTCTTCTCAATTGTTGCTCTTTCACCCTCTGCCCCTCAGATGTCCAGCGGCGCCTCTGACACAGAGGCCCTGGTCCAGCTGCCCCCTGCCCCGAGAGGCCAGAGTGTGGCCAAGCAAGGTGCCGACGACGCCGCCGTCGCTGCCGCCGCAGGCCCCCAGCTCCACTCTCCGGCCCCCCACACCCCGGGGCAGCTCCAATCCCCGGGGCCTCCGCTGCAGTCTCCGCTGTCACAGCCCCGCTTGCAGTCGCCGTCGCCGCAGCTCCACTCGCCGTCGCCCAAGCTCAAGCTGCAGTCGCCCACCCAACTGCAGCCCGGCGGCGGCGGCATGAAGAGGGAACCACCTGGCACTCCGAACAGAGGTAGGCCTTAATTCTGGTGTGGATAATGCGAGGCGGGAGGGGCGGGGGGGTATTCTAGCTGTCAAATATAACAAGAACCAGAGTAGCGTCATGACGGTGAACCTCCGCCAGACCCTCCCGCAATTGCTTCAAATCAACAAAGTCCTTTGTTTGTATTCATTTTATGAAGCACTCTCATCTGAAAACAAAATAAGGACATTCACTCATTCCCTCCTCCCGAATCACTTCAGTAGACAATTTTTTTTTTTTTTGTGGGTGAACTTTATTGTGAACGATGTAGTCCACTCGATAAAAATACCCATTTCAGAAGTAGGAAATGAGTGAACGCTTCCAAATGGCACCCTGCATGTGTTTCCCCAGCCAGTAATGATGGCGGCCCCGCTTCAGCCTCCAATCTCCAGAATCAGTCGGCCTTCGATTTTTGCAGTCCCTTGACTCCGAGCCAGGTCCAAGGAAAGGGGCAGGGAGACCTCTTCCAGGCCCCCAAAGACAGCGGCAGCCCCTTCCCCGAGGCAGAAATTGTCAACCCATTCAACTCAAGCACTGGTACGTAATTTGACACATGTAGTCTCTCACTGGGGGGGGAACGAAAAAAAAAAAACAATGAAGTGGATCTCAAGTTGCATGCACGGGATCACTGTGAGGCAGATGTGCATTCTGTCACATCCATGTGGGGCAACAACAATAACCTGGCGCTCATTTGCACCTCGGTGTTGACAGCGGCAGCCTCGCTAATGATAAATGAGGTTTACGTTGCCTAAAACCAAACAGACGATTACGGCGCAGGCAAAAAATCAAATGCAATGTTTTTGTGATGTATAAAAAAAAAAAAAAAAAGAAGAGCAACTTTTCCCATTAATGTGGCCTTTACTGGACAACAAAAAAAAAACAAAACAAAAAGAATTTAAGAGGAAAAGTACAATTACACTGAGAAAAAAATATATATATATATATATATATATATATATAATATTATTACTTTTTTTAAATTAATTTCAGATGTTCTAGTAGGCTGTCCAATGAAGCTTTAGAATCTCCTTATTTGTTCTTGACTTTCAAAATTTTGTTCACAGAACCCGTAAAAAAATTTTTTTTAAAAATGGATACCTACTGTGGACCGCCCCTGTTTATGGTTGCCCTTTCCAACTTTGTTGCTTCACCCACTCAGGCCCGACCAAGTTGGACTTGGCTGACTCGCAGTTCCAGCCTCTTTCTCTGTCGGACTCGTTGTCCTTCGATGCCCTGGGAACGCCGTTGCAAGCGCCCCTCACCTCGCCCCAAGAGTGAGCATCACACACGCGCACACAATAAAGCAGTGGCAATGCACAGACATTGTTTTCAGTGCGTTCTGCCACCCGCAAGTACGGTGACGCCCCGTTGTTGACTACAATTATGAAAACATCTAAGCGCATTGTTGTTCTTGAGCAGGCAGCGCGTACCCTGTACGCTGGATGAAGTCCTGGGTCCGCCGCCCACGCCCGAGGCCCGGAATGACGAGAAGGCTCTGCTCGAGCAGCTGGTCTCCTTCCTCAGCGGCACTGATGAAAGTGAACTGGCCGAGTTAGACAAAGCCCTGGGCATCGATAAGCTGGTGCAGGTGCGGAGTGTCTGACTTCCTGCCTTGGAATGTTATTCACAGCGTTTCACTCGACCCACACACATTTTGTTTTATGCTCCAGCCATATTTCAAAATGGATTAAATGTAGTCTGTTCCTCAGAATTTTACACACAACTCCGGATGGATGGAAATTCATATTTCTGAAACACACTCATATGCCACAAGATGGCGCCAAAGCCCTGTCTAAATGGGAACCTAATAATGTCCAGTAAAAGGTCCAAGGAAGTGGAAAGCTGCTTTTGTGTATCTCAGGAAGGAGCCTGGGTTGCTCCCGAGAGTGTTTGCCACATCTTCATGTTTATGTACATTGAAGGAAAGTACATCTTGATATTTTTTTTTCCTCCAAAAAAACCCCATTGAAGAGCAAGTGGGATTCTGTATTTGGTGCACGCATTTGAGAGATTAAAAATCATTTCTTCATTTTTTTGCATTAGGCTGTAACCGACCAAAATACGGACGAAATGAAGCACTGTGAATACTTTCTGCTTGCACACAAATTGCACCGTTCTCAAGTGGTCTCTTGGTTCCTGACATCTGGGCTTGACTTGTCCCTCCACACAGGGTGGCTGCTATGACCTCATGCCCCAAAGCTTCCCAACTCAGCAAGTCACTGCCACCGGACTTTCTCTGGACCCCAAGCTGCCCTCCTACACCTCCCAGTTCACGCCGCCCGCTCAGTTTCCGGCCGAACTGGCCACCATGGGGCAGCAGCAGGCGCTGGGCTACGGGGCCGCCCGGGGGACGTTCCTCGGCGGGGCTCCCGCGGCCGTGGCGGGTCTCCGGCCGGGCATGAGCCGTCCTCCGCAAGGGATGGGCCCCCAGCCGCGGCTGCCACCCAACCAGCTCCGGCTGCAACTCCAGCAAAGACTGCAGGGTCCTCAGCAGGTGAGAGCAAAGACGCAGTTCACATTTTGGGACTTTGATGGGTACGTACAGAGTGTATGCGGGCCTTATTCACCTCCTCTTTTCTGTCCCTCCTAAGGTTCTTTAATTATCCTGTCCATGTCTGATATCTCGCCTTTCCCTTTCATCCTTAGCTCCAGAACCGTCTGGCACTGAATACGTTCCCTGGAGGAGGAGGAGGAGGAGGAGGAGGAGGAGGAGGCCAGCACATGAACATGGCTGTTCGTCTGGGGGCGCCGCAACCTCAAATTCCTTCACAGGTGAGCCACCTGTGCAGCCGTTGGCCTTCAGAGACGATCTGAAACGTGACTTCTGCACTTCTCAATACTGCAAGTTGTTACACTGTATGGAGGTGCATCTCCTGGAAGTAGAGGAGTGTATCAAAAAATTTTTTTTTAATTCATTAGCACATTACAACAAAAGATAAGGGCTTTCCAACATTTTCCCTGATTTTCCTCTCAGTTGTATTTTTTTTATTTTTTTTTTTATCTGTGGCTGGAATTTCATTCTGCCAAATATTAGAATCTCATTTTGACGTAAAAAAAAAAAGCCATATTGATCGGGACCGACATATATTACACACAGTGTGGAATATTATTATTATTATTTTTTTTTTTTTGGTATTTGTTAAACAATTACACAAGAAACTGGAGTCCTGTATTACATAACAAAAACTGAACATTTTTTTTTTCAATTAGGAAGAATTGACTTTGTGAAAATAATATTCAATGAATGTGACTTTGACCATATATAAATTTCAGCAGTAACATTCTGTAGTTCAATACAAACAGCGGCGCTCAATGTTAAAGTGTAGATTTGTCAAGTGAAGTTAGTTTGCATGACTAAATTGATTAGTGAATGACTGTAAAAGTGTTTCATACCTTTTTATTGGAACTTAAAAAAAGTATGACCTCCTTTTGTGTTCATGTTTAGCGAAGGAGGGGTCTTAAATTTGCCTTTGTCTTCGGTCCCCAGCCTCCATTAAACGCTCAGATGCTGGCTCAGCGTCAGAGGGAGCTGTACAGCATCCAGCACCGCCAGCGTCAGCTTTTCCAGCAGAAGGTCATGCTGATGAGACAGAACATGGCCTCCGCCGCCCCCATGGGGGGCACCGGCTTCGCCGCCCCGGCCGCAGTCGTCGCCAGGGTCCCGAAAGGGGCCAACAATAACAACAATAACAACGCGTCAGCGCCTCAGCAGCAAGCGCAGTTCAACTTCAGCGCCGGCTACATCCCGGTTTCGGGGAACCCTCCTACCTCACCCGGTCAATTCAGTGGCCCCATGCCGGGCGGGGCGCCCATCCCCGGGAGCCCCCTGGACGGCAAACTGAATAGCCAGACAACGTTGCTAGGCGGCGTACAGGCTCCTCCCTTCGGTGGCGGCTCCCCGATGCAGCAGTTTGCGGGCGCAGGTGAGTACAAACACCACCGCCTACATTCAAAATGATCATCCTCATATTTATGGTCAGATTTAAGATCCGGGCTGGAAGATTTTCCATCTCAATTAAATCCAATTTCATGATTTGAATGTAATTCCCCCTCCTCCATTTCAGATTTTCTTTTTCTCGTGATACCAAAAAAAAAAAAAAGCTTTGGAAACTGAAAATTTCCGAGAAAGGCATTTTTAGTTATGCCATACAGCGTAGTCATAGCATGGCCACATTCTGGATTTTTGGGGGGGTGCAATTTAACTAACTAAAATACAAAATTCACAAACATCCAATTTACAATTATTCCCCCCCTATGAAAAAAATGGTACTGACAACATTGAAAAAAAATTATGTATTTCAGCAACGCCTTTCTGTTTTCTGCTTCATTTCTTCCAAATCCAAACAAGCTTTGAAACAAGAAGACACGGAACTATGGGAGCCACCAAAAATTCTATCCAAAAAAAAAAAAATGCAGTCTTGACAACTAAATTCGAATGAATGAAAAAATGGCCCAGCCCACATATATATAAAATATGACCATTTACTTTGACTTCCCTGCAGCCATGGCCCAGCTGGACCCGCCTTTTCCTCCTGAGATCAGACCCTCCAGTCCACTGTTGTCGCCTCAGAACTCCACTTCCCAGAGTCCTCTGCTCCAACAATCTCCACCCCCTGGCTACCAGTCTCCAGATATGAAGACCTGGCAGCAGGCCAGCAACAGGTGAGCATTGCAGAAATACTGCCGAGATGTTGTCATTATTACCCCCCTCCTCATATTTTACCACCTGCAGAAACTGCAATGCGTTTATTTCTGCTGCTTGCTGTGTTCTGTCTGTGTCACAGCCTGTTCAGTCCGTCATCGCAGCACGGCGGGGGAGGGACGTTTGGCCAGCAGGGGGTGTACAACAACATGAGCATCACAGTGTCCATGGCGGGGGGCTCGGCCGGCGTGGGCTCCTTACCTTCCTTGGGGCAGCCGGTCGGCGGCCTGAACAGCAGCGGCGGCGGCGTAGGCCCGCTGTGTGGCGACCAGCAGGTCGGAAACAAAGAACGGGAATGATTTTCGACTATTATGAAATATTTTCCTCTTCGTGAACAAAACACGACTTCCAGGGATTTTTTGAAAGATTTTTTTTATTTGTCTTGAACTTAAAACCGAAATACAACTGAGCTCTGCTTGGGCAGTGATTCTTCTGCGTACCACTAGGGGGAGCCCGCGTTCCACAGCCTGAAAAATCACTTGTGTATTATGTCCATATGTAAGCATGTTTTTTTCCCCGTGTGCAGGTGCAGCAGGTTCAGCAGTTGCAGCAGGTGCAAGTGTTCGCCGACGTCCAATGCACCGTCAACCTGGTCGGGGGCGACTCATATCTGAGTCAGGGTTCCATAGCAGCCGCCGCCCAGAAGGGTTCCGGACCCCCGCAGGGCCCCCAGACCAGCCAGGCCCAGCAGAAGAGCCTTCTCCAGCAGCTGCTCACCGAGTGACCCCCGTAGCCACCTCAAACCGTCAGCAGACAGACCACCACTCCCACTTCACTCGTACGCCTCCTCCGGACTCGTGACAGCCTCACCTAACTTCAGGATGGATGGACGGCGTCTGGCCGCGGGTGGCGTGTAACCACTTCCCGCGCCGCCGACGCCCACGAGGACGGGCTGGCGTGGGAGGGCGCCGGCGAGCTGCCTGTCTGACAACCTGTCTGTCTGCCTCAGCCTATTGAATAGGCAGTGTTGTCTTTGCTGCTCATCAACCCCCCACCCCAGCGATCACCCACCCACCTGCTTCCTGGTTTCTGTCCAATCAGGACACGGGAGTACCTCGCAGGGGCGGTGCCCCCATCGTCTGGGCTTTTCCGTTCGCTTTTCCGGGAATGTGACGACAGAAGCTCGGTATCAGCTGGTTCTGCGACGCTCTCTCTTTGTCAGCTACACAGTGCCTGGTGGAAGTTTGAGCTTCTTCTCCTTCGTTTTTCTTCTTCCACACACACACGATTATTCGATTTGATTTTTAATTTTTGATGTTTTTCCTCGTTGTCGCTCTGCTCTCTTCATCATCGTCATCTCGATCTGACAACAGCCCGCAAAGGGCACGGTGAAGATTTTAAGGATGGGAGACAGACGGGATGCTGCTCACTTTTTATTTTGAAACTCTTTACTCTCTTATTTGTTTTTTTTTTTGTATTGAGTATAAAAGACAAAACCCGTGAGAGACTGTTGGGATCATTTATCAGTCGCGTGTTTATTAGCCCTCACCTCAGCAGCTGTGAATATGAGGCCGGCTCGGCCTCCCCTCTCTCTTTTGATTCTCTCATTTTCTATCCCGCGCTAACTCGGCCTATCAGTGTTGTTTGCCACGCTGGTGTGTGTGTGGCGTTGTACAGTACAGAAGGAAGGACATTAAAGGGTGACTCATGACAAAAAAAATAAATGGAAAATGCCCCTTTCACGCCGTGCCGGCAAGTCGAAGCAAGGAAACAAGTTTCTTTTTATGTTTGCCTGATTCGACTGCCCTCTTAAGGATTCTCGATGTAACACAGGGATTAATCAAGATGGCGACAAACATCAGCTCTCGATGCAAAAATTGTCACAAATTCAGTCATATTTCCCCGAATACGGCACGAACATTCAGCCACCGTTTTACAAACTCAACAAGTTATCCTGGCACCGTCCCTTTCACGCGGTGCTGACAAGGCAAAATAAGCACCGGTGCTATGACATTTGACTAAATCCGGCACCAGTAATGGAATTCAGACTTCCTATTTGGTATTGACCAAAGCAGCTTTGGTCCCTCCTTAGTGCAAAAGGGGTAATAAACAAAACGGCTATTCACGTCTCGCTGGTGTTTTCGCACCGGTGGTTCTTTTGTTTTTTGTTTTTTTTTCCCTGAATCCGGCACAAGCACTCGAGCCCTATTTTACCTACCCAAGATGGCCACCGGCTCCGTGTGAAAGGAGGCTATAAATGCAACAGTTATCAGAGTCATACCGTACTGATATTTAAAAAAATAAATAAAAATTGCATCGGAGGAGGAAGTAGTTCCCTGCCCCTCAAAAAAATGTGAAGAACTTCATGCAAATGTTCAAATATACCCCAACCCTACATGGCTGTTTTTGTAGTTTTAAAGCCTTCAAGGAAGCACTTCAGGCACCGCGCCGAATCAGGTGCGTATTTTTGAGGTCGTAATCGGCGGCAAACATTCTCTCACGCGCCGGCCAAACCGGTTTGTTCATCTTTTCATGCCTTGGGTATTCGCATCCTGCACTTCAGACTCCCTCAAAATCGAACGCCACCACCATGAGATGTCATTCCGCGCCCTACCTCAGAGCACTTTTATGTTACTTGGATTTTCTTACAATTACCTCATCCTCCTCTTTACCAGACACGCATGGTGCCTGGTTTTCGGACCTCGTTTCACACTGTGAACTCAGCAGTTTCTTCTTCGGTTATTTTGTTCTTATTTTATTTTTTTTACAGTTTTTATTTTTTGTATTCTGGTAACGCAGTCTCGAGCTAGCAAAACCGCAACATGCTCTTTTCGCACAACTTTAGAGACAACTTTTTTTTTTTTCCTTTTGACGACCATTTCTCCACTTTGCCGAATTTTTCTATTTGAACCACTATGTGGACAAAAGTATTGGGCCAGGCCGGAAAAAGCTGTGTCCCAATACTTTTGTCCAAATAGCGCAGGGGTGGGATAAGGGTCCTAAAATTGGTTCTTTAAGATGCTGTTATTTTTCTTAATCGTTGTCATTAAAAAAAAAGTAAATATTAGTCCAAACAATTTTATATGGAGTCCATCCAGAAAGTATTCAGTATTCTGAAATCGATTAAAAAAAAAAAAAAATCCTCAAAAATTCTACTCACAACATCCCGAAATGACAACGTGTGAAACATGTTTAACTGTTTTTGTTTTTTTTAAAGCACCTGATCAATATGGATTTTTTTTTTTTTAAGGCTGATGCCAATTTTGATATTTGCTCGAATAAAATTCCAATTGCCGATTAATCAAATTACAGTAATTTAAAATACTGTAATGAATATAAAAAAATGTCTCATAATGTTTACACTATATTCTCTATATTTTTACAATATTTTAACTTTTTTTAACTTTAAGAGATAAAAAAATCGGCCAAATTTCTTTTTCTGACTTTCTTTTCATGGATGTCATTATCTTGGTCTTAGGCTATAATGTGTTCTGCTTTAAAAAAAAAAAAGTATTTAAATTAAAAGAGTCGTGCCCCATTTTTAAAAAAAAATACTTTTGCAAATTTCATGTTGTTGCGGGATGTTGTGTATAAAATTTGGGGGGCAAAATGAATGTTTTTTTTCTATTTACTAAAATGTGAAAAACTGAAGATGTGAATGCTTTCATTCATTTACGTATCGTTATTAAATGATTGGTTCTAATGATTTTGAAATTTGGACTTTTTTTTGAAACTATGAGAATGAAATATTTAATCATGCATGTAAATTTGATTTTTTTAAATTTTTTTTTTTAAATGAGTCCAAAAGTGTGCCCACCCCTGATGATAGCGTTTGCATCTTTCGTGTCTTCTCTTTTGGTTTGGCGTTGAAACTTCCCATATCCGATGTTCCCATGTCGTTAAAAAAAAAAAGGTATTTTGGGCAGACACTCAGCTCGGAAGAACCATTTTGTTTTTGTTGAATTTGTTTCTTTCCGGCACATGCAAAGTGAGAGAATGTTTATTAATATATATATATATGTCTATATTTTTTTTAAGTATTTGTCCTGTGTCCAGTCCCTTGGTTGATGTATTTTCCTGCAGGGATGATGGATCCTTTCCGCTATTCACTCCACACTACAAAAAAAAAAAAAAAAAAAAAAGACAAAAAAAAAAAATAAGACAAAAAACTAGCGATGCACATTGAAATTCCGGATGTTATGAAACAGCTGCTCAGTGGAAAGGCCTCCACCCTTTTCTTCCTCTTCCTCCTCCTAGTCGGCAGGTACAGGCTTTTTTTGTTAACACGATGTACATAGACAAATGTGAATAATAATAATAGTAAGGAGAATCATCATCAAGACAAGTTTGTGGTAAATAACTACTCGCCTCTGTCCTTTTTTTTTTTTTTTTAAAGATTTTCTACTTTTTATTTTTCAGATTCTTTCGGTGATGATGATGATGATGATGCGTATGTATATGACTATCAGTGCGTGTGATGAATACTGTATATTATTATTATTATTATTATTATGATGGATCTTCTCCTTTCCTGCTCCACGTATCTGATGCCAGAGAATGGTTTCTATAGCGACTGCTGAATGTGATTTTTACTGAGCGACGAGCAGTGTGGACTGGCTTTGTTTTTGTTTGTCATCGTCGTCGTACGGGTTCTTTTAAAAGAGAAAAAAAAAGGCCATATTGTATTTCTCTCTCTCTCTCTCTCTCTCTCTCTTTTTCTCTCTCTCTCATTGTCATAGCGGACGTGGGATGGTGGAGCCTCGGCAGGGTGGAGAAACCACCACCAGAACCCCCCCCCCGCCCCCCCCTTCTAAATGTCCAATGCCTCAAAAGATCTTGTATGCAAACCTCATTACGATGTTAGCGTCCCCTGTCTTTTAACTGAAGCGGCCCAAAGTCAACATTAGCTATGCACCTTTTTCTCATCGGAAAGAAAGGGTGTTCAAAAAAAAAATCACTGGAATTAGCCACAATCCATCCATCCATCCATCTATTTGCTAATCCGCATATCCTAACGGTCGTGGGGGTGCTGGAGCCTATCCCAGCTGTCTTGGGGCAGTAGATGGGGGACACCCTGTACTAGTCGCCAGCCAATCATAGGGCACACAGAGACGAACAGCCATTCGCGTTTGTAATTACACCTCAGGAGTGTTCCATTTACCTGCCATGCATGTTTTTGGAATGTAGGAGGAAACCGGAGTACCCGGAGAAAACCCACACAGGCACGGGGAGAACATGCAAACGCCACACAGGGAGGCCGGAGCCGGGATCGAACCCGGTACCACTGCACTGTGGGGCAGACTTGCTAACCAGACACCCGCCATGTTGCCCGAGCCACAGTCCATTCACGTCAATTCACAAGCGTTAGCATTTTGCTTGTCTCAGTTCCAAAAAATCTGAACCTTGTTTTTGCAATAATGACAAATTTGGATCCAAAAAATTTTCACTAAAATAATACATTAAAAAAAACAAGATACAGTACATGCCTAGCAGTGGGTAGCAAAATTGAGAGCAACTTAAAATGGTAGCAGAAAAAGGGACGATTACGATTGCTTTATCAAATTTTCTTTTTTTCCATCATTGCCAACCTCAATGCAAAAAAAAAAAAAATTCTGATTTCAAAAATCATTAGTCAAAGTACTGGTGGAAAAAATGCTGGTTAGCACAAATTTCATGTTTTTGCTACTTATACAATTCAAATATCGGCAAAAAAAACATGGAAAGCCACATTTGAAGCTGTTTTTTGTTCCTGTTCTGAACAACTGAAAAATTTTTTGGACCTTTTAGATTTGCAAAAAAAAAACATAGAAAGCCACATTTGAAGCTGTTTTTTGTTCCTATTCTGAACAACTGAAAATTCTTTGCACCTTTTAGATTTTAAAAACATTGACATGTTTAGCACTGGAAAATATTTTAAATAATTTGCCATAAAGTAGTTGCAAAAGAAGAGACCATTACCATTGCCATTCACAATTTCCCCGTCTTTGCGAAACATATATGCAAATATCCCCCAAAAATGTATCCAGGTTTTGTGAACATTTTTTTATCAGAAAAGAAGAAAAAAAAACTATTTTTTCTTCGTATTTGAGACTGTTAAAAAAATGGCAATACATGATTAGCATTGTGCAGCAGCATATTTAACAATTTATTGTCAAGCTGTCGCAAAAAAAAGACGTTTTGCCTTTGCCAAACTTTTATGCAAAAATCATCAACAACAAAAAAACATGTCTCACCTACATTTGTTTCTGTACAAAAAAAAAAAAACGTCTCACCTACATTTGTTTCTGTATCATTTTTTTTTTTCTTGATGTTTCAAGTTCAAAATCATAGTGATGGAAATAGTTACTTCTCATTGGACAGCTACATTTTAAACAATCTGGTAGAATTAATCCTCGATCAGCTTCATTTTTTTTGTTCCCCGCTCAAACTCTCAGAACATTCCAGATAACACGTTTCTAGGCGGTGTTGAGGCACCAATCTACTGTTGAGCTTCTCTCGACCGTTTTTTTTCGTCAACTCACTTTTCGTGTACAGTTTTTATACATATTAGGAATAAAAATAAAGGTCTGCTCTGGATTTTGGTGGTGTTTTCTCCGCTTTCGAGCGCAGAGGTTCCACTTTCTCCCCTTGTACAAATTAATATAAATAAATATATTGGAGATATAAATATATGATACATTTTACTTTTTTTGTGATATGCCCCTCATGTAAGGTTTGGTTGTAAAGAAGAGGCACGGGAGCAGCTACAATATGACAAATGACAGTATGCATGTTGGGAGTTTTTCTGTCTTTCTCACCCACCACCTCTTTCTTTTTTCTTTTTTTTTTTTTTATTTTACAATCCCCGTCCACCACCACCAATCTGTTCAGGTGTGATTTGAAAAACAAACAACAAAAAAGGACCTTTTTTTTCTTTTTTGGGGTGTTCTAGACAATCAGTGTGGGCCGCCTCAGTGCCCCTTTCCCTCTCCCTCTTGTTGTTGGACTCATTTGTGCAAAAAAAAAACAACAAAAACTCTGCTGGAACTTTTTTTTTTTTGTCTGTGGCTGCTCAAGTTTACACACACTAAAGAAAGACACACTTGTCGAGTACACACGAAACACCTCGTGCATCATTTTTTGATCCCTTGCTATTTTTAAAAGACAATTCTTTTGAATGTTTTCGTTATTCGTGACTCTTGCTCCTACTCTGAGGTGAGGACATGATATTTCTTTCTTTTTTTTTTTTTTTTTTTTTTGGACTAACAAATCTATAACATCTGAATATGAATGTGGGAATGCAACACATTGCAATAAAAGCACCATTTAAAATGCAGCCACCATTTGGTGTGTGTGATTTAACTGAATGTTATTCACCTGACTTCAGGAGACAAGCCCATGTTTAAAAAACGTACAACAAATGTATTTCTATCTTTCTAGATGGATTGAATTTGCAGTTAATTTGAATACTCGTTTTTTCTTCTTTTTTTTTTTTTAATAAACAAATGTGTTTCTACTCCACAGGGCCATCCCGAACAATTTACGAGTAAAAGGCAGGTGAGTCGTGGTGAAGCATAAGATCTTTTTGTAGTATTTAAAAATATGTTTGCTTTCCGCTTCTATAAACTTGAATCAATCTGTTTGAACACTATGAGTTTTATTTTATATGTATACAGTTGCGTGTGTGTATACTTTTATACCCATGTCTGTTATAACTTGCAACACACGTGAATCCAGGCTTGTATTAGAACATGTAGCCACAAGATGCCAGCAAAGCCTTTCCAGTGGCCCTTTCCCCGCTCCAACACTTAAAAGTACACGTTTAACATTTTATTACACACACAGCGGCTATCCACACGCTTGTATATTGCTTTGCTCATGTTTATATACTCGCGACACGAGTATGACACGGCATGGTTTCTTAAAGTACATGTTGTTGCTTCCTGGGAGAAGTTTGTCTGTTCCTTTGAGCGAGAATTATTATTCTTATTTTTTTTTTTTTAATAATTAGTCATTCAACGTACAACTCTTTTAGCTTCTAAAAACACAGTACTGACATAATTCAATAGAATGTATGGCGTGTGTGTGTGCACCATGGCCACCTGGGTATACTGTAATACAGATATCAGTCTGTATTGAGCTGCTGTGATATTACTGTGATTGAATATGATAATATTAAAGAATATATATGCCTGTTATCTCTCTCTACGTGTTGCTCCACTGTTTGTGGTCAAATATCCACTATTTAAAGGGGTTCAAAAACCATAACTGACAATGTTAGCATGTCAACAGCATTGTTCGCATTTGTTAGCTTTTCCAAAGGAATGCTAAATGGCTACGAAGAATGAACATGGACTACATGCTGCTCGCTGTGAGGTGAGTTGAGTTCACTCCCACCGCTGCGGCGCTCGTATCTAAAACGTTTGCTCGCAAGACAAAGTGAACAATTAACAAAACGGTGGCTCATATCTTGGAAAATTCCTAAGTGGGGGTCAATCGTATCTCAAGGCACCAGTGTATCCTTAATGAGGGTTGCTGCTCTGCGCTTCAACCTTTGGCTGATTATTAAGGCTCTCATGTTTAATTGATCAATGCTCGCTGGCTCATGTTTGCGCCTGCAAAGACGAGATGAGCACGCACGCGCACACACACACACACACACACACACTCACGCACACAAACCATGGCCTACTTTGAAAAAGCTTTTCCCGTTTGTGTCGTCCCAATCCGGTCAAAATTTCCCAAGATGCAGCTTGTTGTGAGCGTGTATGTTGTTGTTGCTTAGGAACACTTTTTTTTTTGAAGCCCCCCCCCCCAGTCAGTGGTCTCTTTTATGAATATCATTACAAATCTCAGCCGAGACAGCGAGACATCTTTATTCCGTATTAATCGCTATTTTAGCTCTCCATCCGGCACAAGGGGGTTTATTTCTTCTCATGTTAGGGGCGTCCAAAGTAATTAATTTTGTTGTTCCACAACATATTCTAATAATATCGTAGAACCAATTATACAAGGACCGCATTAAAACATGGTGAGAAAAAAAATTGGAAAGTTGACCGATTTTCAGAAGAGTAGTTTCTTTAATTAAAAATAAAAGTAAGGCAGGCCTCCACCAATAGTCTCATGCCTATATTCTTTATCCTCGGTTTCCTTGGTTTGAGTCATCATGGTCTCCCTGCTGGTGAAGTCACACACAGCAGAAGGAGTCGGAATTAATAAATCATGATGCAGAAAATGTTTATTGTGTTTAATTATGTTATTGCTGCTGACCAAGAGCATGTTGATTTATTTTTCTAAACATATTTCAAAAGCACAAGATGAAGTGGCCCCCACCTCTTTTTTTTCTGTGTGGCCATGACATGACCACCTTGTGTTCTCAAGTTTGTTCCACGTCAGTTTGGGGACGACTTAATCACAGGTGACATTCGGACTTAACTGCAGGAGGGCCTGGCCAGGGTGACTCCTGGTGGCCCTTCTTTGCTGCACGATGTGTGAGGCTGGAAGCTGAGGGTGATGCCCACCCCAACCCCTCCAGTCACTCCTGCTGGGTCTCCATCTGTTGGCTGCATGCTTACATGCCGCGATTGATGACTGGATGACGGTGGCGCCACCGTGAGTGACAGAGCGATTTGGACCTCCCCCCCTCCCCCTCGAGCATCCCGGGTCGCCCCTCGACCACAGCCCTGGTTGCCGGCACGATGCCAACAAGGCTTAGGGGGATGATGGATGGCTGATGCTGCTGGATGTAAAACTATTGGGACAGCACTGAAATAAAAAATGAAGGCAAAATGTAGAAAAAAAAATCAAGCATTTAATTTCTAAAGATATTTTCAATATAAAGAATGGAGAACGTTTTTTTCAAATTAGATGACTGGATAAACTTTTACCTTTAAATTTCAACCAACATACATTTACAAAGATAATAAATGAATAAATAATAACGTACACTGAGGAGTAAAAAAGGACGTTACATTTTTACATTACTTCTTTTTGGGCCGCCAAAATAAATGCGAAAGCTACTTCTTGAGTTTCTCCACACGGGGGCGTCTGTCCATATTAACACCGCAGTACACCTGCTCGGGTGACGTTTGACGCAAAGAAGAAATGCGTCGAGGTAAGCAATGCAGACAATGCCACGAAATGTCGGATTAAAAGTCATTTTAGTCCATGTGCATACCAAAATTTACTGCCATTTGTGTTTGTAGGATGGTTTTCACTTTTAAAGGCCTGCTATGTGACCCCTGGAGGACGTTTTCAAGACATTTGCAGCGACTCGCACCAGGTAAGCAGCTATGCTAGCTTGTTTCATACAGTACAAGTCAATGCTAATTAGCATTTAGCTTTGTTCACGTGGATTTTTTAGCATTAGCATCATGGATTCATTTCAATGTAGGGCTCATGTTATTGTCATTGATTTTTGCTGAGTTGAAGGGGATATAAGTATATGACATTGTTTTCTGGGTACATAATGTTCCAATGTTGGTGTCTAATTACTTTTTGACACGCTTTGTGGTGAAGTTATCTGGGTTTTGTTGTTGCTGTGTTTTATTGCCGTGCATACATTTTATTTCGTGTATATTGGAAGGTATTTTTCCTTCGTGGAGTGCAGTAATTGATGAAACGCCTCTTTCGAAAATTAGAAATTCTTAAAATTGCTCCCTTGGTCAAAAATTGAATAATGATGAAAATACTGGTAGTTGGAAAAAAAAAATCAAGTTTAGAATCCAGAAAGAAAGACATGATTCAGTTCTGTGTACAACAAGGAATTCAAACATGTTTGTGGGTTTCAAATGGCCAAAGCTGCTCACGATACAACCAAAAGGTAAGTTTTGATGTCAACTGTATACTATGTATGTACTGTATTTCAAGAGCTGAAGTTGGAAAAGACAAATGTTTAAAATACAATAATTGAAGTGGCCAAATGGCCAGTATTAATGCTTATTGCAATTGTGAAAATATATCAAATGGAACATGGTGTTTGAATGTTGGCAGACATTTAGTTGTCACACATTGTATACGTTTTAGAAGCATTTATTTCCTACTAAATAAACTAATAAGACCCCAAAAAGGTAAGTCTTCCAGCTAACTTCGCCGCCAGCTGTCAGAATCAGCATGATTAGCGTTAGCCGCAAGTAGGTGAGCGGGCTTCTTTCCGGTGGGAGTTAATTGAGGCCTGTAGACGGCGGGTGCGCGGCACCTGTTCTTGGATGGCACCCTGCCACCGTGCCCGGTCCCCCTGCTGTGGAGGACATTCATGCCTCGATGAGGAATTAGGAAGTCATTAGGCAACTCCAGACGATGAGCGCCTTCACTTCCACGTGGCCGAGTGCATGACAGACTAATCGGCGGTCTTGTTTAAAAACCATAAAAAAAAAAAAGCGAGAGAGAGAAAAAAAAAAGTCACATGTCCTGCTGGGCTGGATGGGATTTCTTAAATGTACAATGAACCCCTGTTCATCGTGAGAGAACATTGCAAGTGCATTGCAAGGCCACGAATGATGAACTGTAGACAAAGGAGGATTCGGCCTGATGCCAGTGACATCGTCTTTCCAGACCGGACTAAAATTGTCTCTGATCTGTTGACTTAAACTGAAAAACCGCCGCCCCATAACCGAAGGACCTCAGGTAACAGAGGATCATGCTTCCATCTCCAGCCGAGTGGGTTGTAGATTCGCCGCTCATCCCAAAAGCAAGTCGCCGACACTGCACTAACTCCTGACTGCACACTCAATTAGCCGTCAACCTTTGGCAGGCAGACACCAGTAGCTCGTCCAAGCGTTCCAACCTACGCCTGCCTGGAAGAAACCCTACGCAGAAGGCAAAGCGACATGAGGATTTTTTTTTTTTTTCTCCTGGTGGAGAATAAAGGTTAATAACAGTCCTTTCCTGTGTCATATTTGACATGACCAGTCATGGCGGTAATTATAATCATTACACTCTAAAGGATCTCGAGTTATCCCTCTTAAACACAGGCCGCACAAAGGAAATCAATTATTCAATCATAGCTCTCCCATTCAGCGGGTGCCTGAGTTCACTTCATTTTGGGCCCGGGTGAATCTGCCGCAAATAAACCCGGCGACCGACGCGAAGAAAAGACAGCGCAGGCCCCCTAATTTGTCGCCTTTCAGCCGGTCAATCATGCTCTCAAAGGAATGCGAGCGTACTCTGACAATCAGCGCGACGTGAATGGGGAATGGGTTTCATCTGCTGTTTTGCATAAGTTATCTGGCGATAAAGACGGGCACGGGAGGGAGGGGGAGGGGGGTACAGTTGGCAAGTGCGGCCCAAAAAAACCCCATGCCGCCCACCCCTCCTTCAACTTATCGCTTAGCCATCCTCGTCTCGCCCGTGCCTACCACGATTGGCAACGTGTAATTTAAGAGTACGGGCACAAAGACCAAATGCCAAGCCCATAATGGAAGCTGGATGTCTTCTGATTCTAATGGGCCTCTCCGCTGCAGTTCCAGGGCCTGTAATTAAGATCACCAGGACACCGGAGACAAGACAGACTCACAAAGAGCTCAGGACCTCGATCAAGAAGAGGGAAGGGGCGGGGGGGATTTTAACGACTGGCACGCCAAAAAATGTCGAAGTTGGCACTTTTTCCAGTGGACTCTCATGTGGCCTTCAAAAGTCGACTTTGGTGTGGCGTTGACTCACAGGAAGACCAAGTCCATCATAGAAGGTGCTTATGTTCTGCGAGAGTTGCGCAAAGTGCTCAGGAACTTGATTCAGAGGAAAAGAGTAGCTGGCAAATGCCGAAAGTTGGTTTGGGATCAGTCCCATCATAGAAGATGTTTCTGTATGGATTTATTTTGCTTGTTTGATGGTCCCAGGGCACCAGAGAACAGAGCACAAAGTTCTCAGGAACCTAATTTCCACAGCGCGGTACTTACCTGCTTGGAAAAAGTCCGCGCTAGGTTCATGCAGATTAAAAATTGGAGGGAAAAAAAAACCTACCCATGCTAAACTTCGCTTGGGCTTATTTCTGGACATTACCACTTTAAGAGAAAAAAAAACGGAACATTCAAGTCACTGGCTCAGGGGGAAAAAAGTGTAAAGTGTGACTTTTAGTGGCATCCAAGAACAGGTGCCGCGCACTCGCCGTCTATCGGCCTCAATTAACTCCCTCCGGAAAGAAGCCCGCTTGATTTGGCTTGGCGTCGATTCTCAGGAAGCGTTCGTTGGTGACTAAAAAGATTAAATTTTAGAAGGTGGATATGCTCCGATTCGAACCGGCTTCAGCTTCGTGGGCACCAGAGAGAGAAAAATAGCAGCAGCAGCGACAGAACTGTGTAAAAATGATGCAAAACTGTAAAAGTTGGCCTTTTTTTTTTTTTTTTTCAACGGGCTTTGGTGCTTGGACTGCGTTTGGACGGCTTGCGATTCATTAGGCCCCCTCATCGCTTCAAGTTGTCCTGGTTCACTTTCAAGGATGCACGGCGGTCTTTGATTGCTTATGGAGGGTGACGCTCAGTGGAGAGCAGCTTCACTTCAGAGAGAATTCCGATTAGCGAGCGGCAACTCCATCAGCATTCCTGTAGGGATATTTGATCAATCTGACTGATGAAAGGAGTCGCGCGGGCCTTCACATCCGCACGGAGGACAGGAAGTGTTGTCCTCGCCGCCGTCGCCGCCGCCGCTCACTCCCCAGCGTTGTTTTGGTCCCGAGGACACACTCGAGCTGCTGGTGCTCCGGGTGGTTGTGTGTTCAGACCTTTTTCCGTTTAATTAGATTTGTTAAAACAATTTTTGGAGTGCTTTATTCGGTAAAAGCTCTCAGGGGTTAATATCCGCGGAACACTTTCTCTGTTCGCCTCCTTTTCACCAATGGAGCATAAATTATTTAAATTATTCAGAATTGTGCGACCTTTTATCTCACCCCCCTTTGAAGGCGGCAAATTAAAAATGCAAATGGGCGAACTAATTAATATGCAAATGCATTCATTCCCAGTTAACAATTAGCAATTAAACCTGCAGTGTCTAGAAAGAGCACTGGCAAAATTAGCAACTTATTTTTGCTGTTTGGAAAAAAAAAATAGTCAGTCCTGCATGCGCGCACCCAAAAAAAAAAAGATTGACGAGATGACTTGAATTGAAGACCACCTGCCTCGCTGTAAACAAAACCAATAGGACGACGCCGTGTCGCGCCGTGTCGCCCCAAAAAAAACAACAAAGGTGTCATCTTTTTTTTTTCAATCGTCTTTTTTGTCCTGCTTGGCTGCTCGCCTTTCATAACTCAATCAAGCCTAATTAGAACGTTTAAAACTATTTGTAGCTAGTCGTAGCGCGAGCGTGCCCGCGGTTTTGACACGTTAGCATAACGCGAGCGCGTCCATATTCTGCTACATGTCAACGCTGTCTGGGTAAATGACATGGCGGCCGGAAATATCCATCAAACGCAGCCGACTTCCTTTCTAGTCCGACGTGGTTGCGTTCATTTTGTTTACGTACGGCCTCCTCCGAGAGAAAACGTAAATTGCACTGAACTCGGATTTCATCGGACAGAGACCAAATTTTCCTCCTGGTTCACTTCCAAGCTGCGTAATCGAAACGCGGACGATGTCTCCGGACGCGTGTCGAAGACCGTTTTGCGTATAACCCACGCAGATCGGCTTTGATTTTTTTTTTTTTTTTTTCGGACGTGAAAGAAGAGGACGCTATCGCCGCGCACTTTTTCCTATTTCCTCCCCAAACGCAATCTTACACTCCACGCTATCTCCCGCATTACACCGCACGATAGCGGACGCGCCCGCAGTCGACATCAATCATGCGCGGCGAGCCTCCACTCTGTTCATTTTTAGCACGTGGCGATGCCGCGGCGCGATAGCCGTCGAGGTGCCGAGGGCCAGGAGGCGTGAACCGCAACTCCTTAAAGGTTATCTGCCGTACACAGACCCGGGGGGGCACCCGCCTCGCGCACCTCGGCGCCGTTCAGCCGAGGACGTACAAAGTGATGCGTGCGCGGGGGGGGACATCGCTGTCGACGTGACAATAGAGGTCAGTCAGTCAGTCAATCATCAGGGGAGGCGGGAGGGGACAAGAATGATGTTTTTTTTTTTTTTTGAAATGAACATGCTTCCTCATATACAAATCAGAAATGTCAACGTTAGACTTGATCGCTTGTCTATGAAAGAGTATCAGAGCCACGCTCGGGGGAAAAAATTATTAAGTCCTACTCGACAATAGTTTTATGAGGACAAAAAGGTTGAATCAAACAAGAAGTGTTTTGTTCATTTGGGGAGTAAAGTTGTATTTTTGTGAGGAAAAAAGTAGGAATAG